CGATCGCTGAAAGGTCGGCCATCTCGTCTAGCTGCCGGGCCGTCAGTTCCTTAAGCTCCCGGTTATGGGCCTCAGATCGCTTCAACTTCTCTTCCAGCTGAGCCAGCCGGGAGGAGGAATCTTCGGTGAGTTGCTCCAGGGTGTCGGGCCTAACTTCGCCCATCTACATATTGGAAAGTGTACCGGTTAGTACAATGATCGAGTGACAAATTCAAGAGAGCATACCGGATAAGTGTTACCTCTTTCAATTTAAGGGTCAATTTGACCCAGAGCTCTTCCAGCGACTCTTCCGCCGGGGGGTTTTCTCCCCTTCTCTTCTTGACCGATGGATGGGTGGTGGCCGCATGCTTCACTCTCTTTTTCCCTTTTCCCTTGTTGGGGGAGGGATTCACCGGTGCCTTGCCAGTCTGGGCAGATCCCCCGGTCAAAGGGGCTTCCTCCTCGGAATGAACTTCAATTGTCTCTTTCTGGACCGGGACAGTTTTGGGGGCAGAGGAAGAAGAACCACCGGTTGTCTTCGGCATGTTGAACGCCCTGAAATTCATGTCTGCAAAACAAGCAAAAACATAAATGTTTGAACTTCGACCGGTATAACAAAAGCAAGAAGAAAGAGGAAGGAAAGATACCAGGGTGGCTGGGGCCCCCGGCCTCTGCAGTGTTGCCCGGGGCGGGTACCCCGTGCCCGCTGCTTCATGAGCCATAGGGGTACCCTGGCCACCCGGTTGGATCCGCCAGATCCAAGCCCCGTAATGAAACATTTGCCCGGTGAACGGGTCCCCTCGGAGAAGCTTCTCTAAACTCTCTTCCAAGTCTGGGGCGGTGGCCGGCTCGGTAAATTGCGGCTTCAGGATGTGGTCATTCCATGGTATGCCGGCCAAAGGAGAAACCGTAGGAAATTTTATGAAAACGAATTTTTCCTTCCACTGCCGGTTGCTTTGTGGAAGGTCAGAAATGAATTGGCGACCGTTACGGCCTTTGAAATAGACATAGTCGTCGCAACCCGACTTATCGGGAAGAACTTCAAACAAGTAGAGGAAAAAACGAAGGGAAGGGTCAATTTTGAGATGGGTGCAGATATTTATAAAGGCATTAAGGAAACGGTGGGCATTGGGCGTAATTTGCCCGGGGAGGATCTTGAAACAGTGGCACAACTCGACCAGGAGGGGGCGAAGGGGGAAGACAGTGCCACTCTCCAGGGAAATGATATGGAACCCTACCCTATCATCCCGGTGAGGCTCGATGATGTTGGGCCAGTTGGGGTCGTATTCAAGGACATACCCCTCCGGGAGGTTCCTTCGGGCCTTATTCTGGGCGATCTTGGAAACATGGGGGTAGATGTCTGAAGGGTAACTGGTAGGAAGAGGAAAATAACCGGTCGTTTCCAACCGGTCCACCCATGCCTCATATGATTCGTTATCAGGGTCATAGGGGGCCGGCTCGTCTTCGACCGGTTCACCCCCCTCTTGAAAGATCTGACCGGGCATCTGATTTACTGGCCGCGGGTCCGGAACATTGGGGTTGGGAATCGATCGGGGACCAAGAGCTGGTGAGGGTGACCCGGTCGATGAAGAGGAAGAAAGAGATTCCTCAGATGCGCGGGCATCTGAGGCGGAAATATCCTGACTATCAGGAGAAGACATCTACCGGAAAAAGAAATAAAGACTGAAGAAAAACTAATAAGGGAAGGAAGAAAGCTTACTTGACTCGAAGGGCTAGGAAGCGAGAAAGAGGAGATTGACCGGTGAAACTCGGGAGACGCGCGAAGAAGAAGTGAGGAAGGCAAGGGGGTTGGAGGCCTTTATATAGGCGAGGAGAAAGGAGAAGGAGGCGACGTGGCCTCACCAGGGCGCGCCGCGTCAAGCGGCGCCATCATTGCGCCTGGGGAGGCGAAAGGGCGCAGGTCTGACGCTGTTCAGCAGGCCGCACGTGTCATAACTGACACTTCAAATTTTGAATTCAAAAATTTTGAGCGGGAAAAGCCAAAATTCGAATTTAAAAGTCCTGTTTCAAATTTTTTACTTCCCACTTATGACAAAATCGCATAACTGAGAAGTGGAGGGCTTATTGATGGGTGTATTTCACCCATGACCGGTCAAAGGTCAGGACCGGATAGTTGACCGGTCAAAGAAGTCGAACTCAAAAGAGCGATCTGGATCGTCGGCAAAATGATGACTGGTTGACCGCGAAGTTGACCGGTGTACTTCGGATAGTATACCGGTCAAAATACTTTACCATCAGGAGCCAATTCCGAAGTCAGTTAAACCCAACCTTCGAGAACCAACCGGTGTACTTTCACAAGATTGATGGGTGTCGGCAGGGAGAATCCAAGAGAGACTTGGACTGTAGTGGTTGGAATTGCNACCACGCCAGCTGCATGCCCCCACGTGGGCACACGTGGTCCTGCCCCCCCCCCCTAGCTTAGTATATATACCACTTGTGACCCTCGAAGAAGGGATCCGAATTCACTCTCTCTAAACTCCCTTGTAAAAGTGACCGTGCATTCTCTGTTTTAATATAATTCGGGCTACAGGTGTTCCACCTAAAGTCCTACCGGTCATTCTGAGTGTTTTTACTTTCTTTACTTTACTGAATCGTGCCAACTATTCTAGACCCGGTCTAGTATAGTTTGACCGGTCAAGTAATTTACACCATCATATACAAAGCAAAAAGAGTTGGCTACAGTGTTACCGCCAAAACACTGTAGTAATGTAGTCGAGAAAATGCAACGAATATTCTATTTAAGGAAATTTTCCAAATTATTTGAAGTATGTTGCAATGTTTAAATTTTTGTTTTTATGAACTGGGTCATTTTTGATGTATTAATAATAATGATATTTTAATATTATTTATTCCGTTTCTCTTTATCAGTAATTTATTTTATAGAAATGTTATCTTTGTCCTTAGAAATTCCTTACGTATTTAGAAGAATTTTTTTCTTATGAATAAACTCTAAATTCAATTTTAATTAATGACAAATCTAATAATGAAATGCTCCCCGTGCATCGCACGGGTAAGATGCTAGTAAAACCCTGATGGACAATAAATCCACCAAATGATCCGATTCAGAAAGCGGATTGTAAGAATTTAATTAAGAAAGAGAATTCGAGAGTTGAGTATGTATTCTCAGCCTCCCCTTTCTTCCTTCGGGTCTTCTCTATTTATACATGAGTTCTAGACAATTAAGGTAATGCATAATCAGTGGAGTCTATCCCGTTAATGGCGCAATCCCCGTTATCCAGCTTCGTCTCCGCCATTCGGTTCCGTCTCCTTCTCGGGATTGACTCTGCCAGCTGTTCCTGGACTGGAAGTGACTGGGCTTAGCCCTATGGACCGGCCCAAGCCTTGATATCCTCCAAGTGCTTGACCCAAATTGTTTGGATGATTCATTTGGGCCGCCCGTTGGATATTGGCCCATCAAACCCAAAGGTAAAATATACTCTCCAATCTCCCCTCCCTTTTTTGTGTTTAAAGCGTTCACAAGACATAACTTTCTAAATAAGAGTAAAAAACTTTAAAAATGCCAAAATAGGAATAATAGGTTTTTAATACTAAAATAGGGTTCACAGTGCATTGTTACACTATCAAACTCATCACATCGTCAACCTGCCACAATATGACCACCACATTGTCACTCGTCACCGCCGACCACCAAAGTGTTATCGCGGATCACCGATGATTGACTGATCACACTGACATATTACGATATTATGGAGTATTACTTTGTCAACGTGTACCCTTACACCACATTGTCATTATATTTCTATTTTGGTCTTAAAAGGTTTAGCACCCCTATTTTGATATTTTCAAACTTTTTTATTCCTATCCAGGTAGATTTATTCATTTAAAATGGGGCAAACTTTCACCCCACCTCATTCCTTGCCAATTATTATTCTTTTCTTTTTCGCCCAATTCCAAAACACCTACAATGCTATCACCATCTCGTATCGTCCCTTCACCTTTTTTTTACATTATTCCGTATTTTTTTAATAAAAAACGTATATAAATAAAAATGAAATATATATATATATATATATATACATATATATATATATATAATTAAAATAGAAATACTAATAACGACACTCTTTGTTAAAAAACACAAAAATAAAATAAATAATACAACATTGGTGGGAGAATTATTCTTTAAGAGTGAAATGAGAGAGATGAGAAAAAATTGAAAAGGACGGTGAGACGAGATTGAATGTAGGATATATTATAGGTAGAGAAGAGATGAATTTATAGAGTTGAAATTAAAAAAAATTAAAACCAAATCCCTGCACGTCGAGAGGCTACAATGGATGTAGGGGTGGACACGGTACCGGTACGAAGGGGTGGCGGTACCAGAACCGGCGGTTCCGGAACCGTACCGTATTCACCCCTAACTGGATGTGCCGCACCGTCCTCGCTTGCGCCGCAGGACCGGCGACACGCCTGGTGCCTGGCATGCGCTGCAAGTTCCTTTATGCGCCGCAACTTCATTTTGATAAACATGCATCATAAAATGAAAATAATACTCCCTCCGTCCCTAATTAATAAACTCCCTTTTTGACTTTTTGAAGATTTAAGGGATGGATATTTTTGTGTTGACTTTCCAAAAATGCCCTTGATGTGATGTGTAAAAGTAAGATGTGATAGGTAAATTATTAGTAAAAAGGTATGATGTGATAGGTAAGGTATGAAAAAGTAAGGGGTAAAAGGGGTTTTTAAGAGAAAAAAGAAGTTTATTTGGGGACAAAGAAAAAACGAAAGTGGATATTTATTTAGAGACAGAGAGAGTATATAGACAAAGCCATAAATAATTTCTTAATGTTCCTAGCTACTTGGGTCTAAGCTCAAAGCCCTCAACAATGAGTCCTCCCTTAAGATGCCCACCTTTAACCTCCCTCACACACATCTCAACCTCCTTGTCTTGATCATTCCCATCGTCGTTATAAAACTCTCCCAACTCAATCTCGAGCCACCCATCCCCACGCTCGCGAACAACACACTCTTGTCCCTCTTCAAGCCGCGACCTTAAAATCTCCATCCTGTTCTGCAAGAAAACGCGTTCCAATAGCGCTTGTTTTGCGTCCGGCTTGCGACGCAAGTACGCAATTTTGTGCGACTCGTAACCCCCGACTTTGATTGTTATCTCGGAGGGTAGGGAGTCCAAGCCGAATGCCCGACCCGCGAGCTTGAAAACGAAGTAGGCCACGTAGGTTGTGTGTGGGGACAACATGCGAGTCTTCATCTTCCCGGTCATTTCTAGCCAGCATATCATTACAAGCTCCACAATTTCCGGAAACCTGCAGGTTAAGAAATAGTACTAATTTTAATGTCATTATAAATACTCATGTATATTACGGAGTCAATCTTTATTTTTTTCCTTTCAATTTGTGTTGTTAGAGTAGGCAATATAATCAAGCACATATCAAGAATGACAATAAAAACAAGATTTTTGACACTAATTGCAACTTGCAATTATTGTTTGATTATACTCTTTCAATTTCTTCTAGTATCTAACTTTAAAGTTAGAATGAAATTATTTTACCTAGAACCAAAGAGGGGCTTCCAGCACCAATAGAGGGCATTACTGGAAAAGGCAATAGAAAGTTCTCTCGCACTCAACGTGTAAGATTTCTTGCTGCTTCCTCTGTCTATCCAAAACGTCTGCATGTATATCAAACAAATTGCTTAATAATCAAACGATAAAATATACTGAGTATCAAACATTAATTAATTACTCACTCAGCTCTTAAAGATTGCCATAATTTGATTTTTTTTGATTAAACTGTAGCATCATTTGATAATAAATTAAATATAATTTAAAATAATTAAATAATACTCCCTCCATCTCGGAGTATTCGTCCAGTTTTGACTTTTGGAACTGTTCATCTAAGCACTTTGACTCATCAAAGCACTTTGACTCATCAAATTCTCTCAATGTGTAAGCCTAAATATAGTCAAGTGTGATCTTGTTTGATTTGTTTTAACATATACTCCGTAGATTATTAATATATAATTTCTATAATTTTTTAATATACAAATTACAAGATAAAATGGATTAAAGAAGTGTATTGGATGGTGTGTAAAAATGAAAGTGGACAAATACTTTGGGACGGAGGTAGTATAAAAATTTGATATTTCAAAATTATATTTTAAAATAAACCCAATTTTACTAAATTTAGAATATAACTAAATATCTTTTTTCCATAATTCACTGTCAAATGGTGTCATAGTTTGACCAAAAAAAATCAAACTGTGTCAAATGCTCTAGGGAGGGAGGGAGTAATTAGTACTACTACCTTATGGCCTCCGTCAATGAGAATGGGGCTCAAAAGCTTGACAAACAACTCTTTCTTGGACCGGAATACCCTCACGGGGGGAGACACTGACCGGAGCAAAATCTCCGGGTAATCGGACGGCAGAAACGCATCCCACAGCAGCTCTGACTCCACGGCGCTGCGGAAGGCGGTTGACACCAGCGACGACCGGCAGGCCAGGTGGGGCGGGACCCGGGACAGGATTTCGACCATGCAGTCTTCCGGCATGAGCTCCATATAATAATAATAGCTTAATTAATTGCAGGCTCGTTTAAATTACTAATTAATTATATTGATTCATTAATGTATTACTCCGTTCATGAGCTTTTTATGTTGCGGCAGATGAGACGACGATGACGCCATAGGGGTGACAGATGACGACATAAAATAAAAATAAAGGATTATGCTATGTGTACCCCAAGTTTTGTACCCCAATTTGTACCCCGCAGTTTTGCACCGACACTTTGTGTTGGTGTAAAACTAATTTTTGTTAAATGCACCAACATTTGTGTCCGTGTGAATTTTTATTAACGCACCAACACTTGTGTCGGTGTAAACCATCGAAATGTTTGTGCAAACCTGTGGTGTACAAATGTGGTATATTTCTTGGTGTAAGTGTAGCATGGTCCAAAAATAAAAAGACATGTTGCCCATTTTAGGATCTCCACCCGTCAATTATTCGGCTTGGCATTTTTGGTCCACCTGTCAATTCCTAACTCAATGAAAGTATACGTTTTTGAAAAAAGTATCCGACGATAGCTTTTAGCGTTAGCATTTTCAAAATTATTCTATGTCATTAAAATTTTATCCAAAACTTTAGAGCTAATAAAAAATGATACTCCTTCCGTCCTAAAACTTTCTTCCCACTTCCCCTTTTTCTCCATCCTAAAACTACATTCTCATTAGAAAAAAAGATGACAAATGACATTAATACCCTCATGTATTTACACCAATTATTTTCTAACTCTATATTTTGAATGATTGTAAAAAAAATTTCAAAAAATCTTTTTTAAGGGTGGTAAAATTTGAAGTTAAAGCCAAAAATTTAAAAAGAGAAAAGTCAAATTGGAAAGAAACAATTAGGACCGAAGGAGTATTTCCAAATCCCAAATAAGGCGAGTCAAGAGAAAGCGCTCCCAAAATTTTTTAGACTATTAAATGAAAAAACAAGGTTTGTTATATACTCTGTAATAATAAAAATAAGCATTCCAATTCATTTTTACGGTAAACAAGCATTTAATTAATCGCTAATATGTTTCTCTTGTTTCTAAAAATTTTTCTCTTTTCTTTTTTCATTTGTCCACAAACCTTTTTTTATTTCTATTAAAAATTTACTTTTACTTCTTTTAATTGTTAATCTATCTATCACATCACATCTATTCATTATTAAATTACATCATCAAATTCTACTTTAACCTATCATAACCAATGACATTTTTGAAAACTCAATATTAAAATACACTCCTCTTAAATTTCTTAAAACTCAAAATTTCCTATGTTTTCTTGGAGGGATGGAGTATAATTCTTATATAATACGGAGTACTAAAAAGATAATACTTCGTATTACTTTATTATTAATATATAATACATGCATCATTTCATTTTTTTTCTTGAATCTTTTAAACAGTGCAAACCTTCAAACCTTTTTTTATAAGTTCTAATACACATTTTTACAAATTAATGAATAAAACATTATTAATTAAATAAAATTAAACGATAATAATTTATAAAATAGAAAAATTTCATTCAATAAAAAATTAATTAAAAAAAATTAATTAAAAAAATAAAACAAATTATATTTAGTCCTGATCTCGTTTTGTTTTCTCTCGTAATACATACGTTTGGAACCGACGGCTTGCACTTTTTTGGTTCCAGTTGAGTCTCCAAAACCGACTCCGGGTCCTCCACCAAGCTTCGCGTTTCAAACGACGAAATATTCCCGTACGTTCGGAAAAGCCACATCGCGTACTCGTTTGGCTCGAGATCAGATGGAGAGGAACTGAAGAGATTCATGATAAAACAAAACAAAATACTTGAATAATAATTTTTTTTAAAGAAAGATGAGAGATAGAGAGAAATTTGTATTTGTGTTAAATTTTAAAAAAAATTGATTGAATATATAGAGAAGGAAAGAGGAAGAAAGAGTGAGAAAAAGAATTTTTTTAAACTAATGAAACGAGTTCTTCGAGTTCTTTCTAGTTTTTCAAGTTCTTCTAGTTTCTTCTAGTTCATTCCAGTTTCTATCAACTATTTTAATTTTCTTCAAACACTTTCTACACCCCAACTAATTATTCTAAAAATGATATATTTTTATTTTTATTATTTTTTTATTATTATTATTACAACAATTATGTTCATAATTATAGTTTATAAATTATTTTTTTCATCTTACAGTTTTTACGATTCACACTTATTATTTTTTTTCTTCAACTTTTTAATATGAATAATACAATTTTTTATATATTAATCTACACGATAAAACAGGAGATATTTTAAACTATATTAAAAAATATGGATAAAATGGTTATATACAATGCTTTATTAATCTAACTATATATAAGACTCTCACATTTACCTTTATTACTCAAAATTTTCTCATTTTTTTTTTGATTTTTATAAAAAAAATTGAAAATCAAAATAGTTTAGAGCAAAAGACTAAAATAAGAGTAAAACAAAAAAATGTAAAAAAAAGTTCTATTTCTTTATTCCAAAAATAGGAGTTACAATGAAAATAAAACATCAATCATGAAAAAATAGATTTGATTACATTATGTGACATGTGTGATATTTAAAATAAAATCTTCTAATATATAAAATATAATTATAAATATATTATTTATAATAAATACTGCAAAATTAATTGAGGTGCAACGTAACCATAAAATATTTTAAAAATTTAACATTTTGAAATTTATGCTAACTTTATATATATTATAATTATTTTTTTATAAAGTAGTTTTTTTGTGTATGAAAAATAACAATATTTTTTTATTTAAAGGCAATTATTAAGATAATATGATGATGATGATAACAACAACAACAACAATCCCTCCGTTCGACATTGCCTTTTTAAATATGAGTTGACTAATGGCTTGCATTGCCCAAAATACCTCTGCTCCTCCTAAGGTTGTTTTTCGCCTCAACACCACAGACACCCCAATCGCCCCCACCATCCCAACCATCGCCCAGCCCCCACCACCACAACCGTCACCCTAGCCCCGCCATACCTAAAAATTATAAAGCAAGAACCTCCCTCAACCGTAGATCTTCAAGGAGATGAAATCCAATCACCGCACGTAGATCTGATCGGGAAGAAGAAGAATAATAAATGGAAGGGGAGGGGAAGAGAGAGATAGTGAGAAAAGTATATTAGCTAGATAGTAAAGTGAATGTGCTTCTCCCCCTCCTGGAGAGGGGCATTTATACAAAATACAATTGGGCTTCCTAACCGTTAGCATATGGCCTAACGGACCGAGCCCATCAAGATCCAATCGTTCGATTGACGGCGCCAACAATGTGACTAAAAGCTAGGGTGGCTACAAATGTTGGGTGACAATAGGGTGGATAAGACAAGTGTATCATGGTGTCCAATCGTGGGCCCGCTGATTGGACAAGGCATGCAGTCCACCATGCCCTGGTGGGCCTTGACACGTAATTGGCAGCTGAGGTCGAGCACGCATGCTTAGCTGTTAGAGATTGTCTATGGAGGTTCGACCGGGTCGGCCCCGAGTCCGAGTAGGTGTTTTCGGGATGAGCAGGGATATGTATCCAAATGCGGTTATCATCTTGAGACCTTGGTTTCTTCTTAAGTTTCGTTTAGCTAAATGGGGACCCTTAGCTGAGCACGTATGAATAATTTAATCTGATGGGCCTTGTTGGGCCGAATTCCCCCATTTCGGGGTATCCATTAGGGAGAAAGAAGAAAAAGAGGGGGGAGGGGAGAGAACATGATTGCCTGATTTGGTTGAGAAAAGAAAGGGAGAAAGAAGAAAAAGCGGAGGAAGAAGAAACGGAGAAGAAGAAAATCAGGAGAAGAAGAAATAGAAGGGGAGGGGGAAGACAGAGAAAGAACAAAAGAAGGGGAAGGGGGTGGCCAGATTTGACGAGAAAAGATGGGAGAAAGAAGAAAAGAAAAGATGAAGAAAGAGACGAAAAGATGAAGGGGTATTTTAGAAAGAATTATTATGAAAGAGTAAAAAGAGAAGTTTATTACCGGACAAAAAAAGTGTAGAATGGTAAATTCTTTTTCAAAAGGAGAGAGTAATAATAATAATAATAATTTATAACAACAATAATTATTATCAAAATAATATTCCAGTGTATAAAAATACACTAAAATATAAATTTTAAAGTTTTTTTAGGTTTTCCAATTTTTTAAAATTTTTCCAGTTTCTTCTAGTCCTTTTAGTTTTTTTAATTTCTTCCAGTTTTTCAAGTGTCTTCTAATTCCTTCTATTTTTTTCCAACATCCAACTTTTTTTTTCTAGTTCTAAAGAAGACGCTTTAAAGTGTAAGAATGAGCTTTTTGCATGTTTGTGAAACAAAGAAGCCTTCCCCTTTAACAGTCACTCAATTTGATTTCCTGCCTTCACATATTCGTTAGGAGTAATGGGATCACAAATAAACAGTTCACAAAATTTACAAATTTATTTTTTTAACACTTTCATTGAAATAAGAAACACTCAAATAATAAAAAATATATTCATTTTAAAATTCACAAAAGATAAATTTGTTAAGTTTGTGGAGGATATGTTTGTGGCTAGCATTTTCCATTCGTTAGACACTCGGGCGGGTGGGTCTCTTAGATTGAGGATAGCGTGAAAGTAATTTTTTTCAAGAGTTTCCAACCACACATTTAAAATTACTCTTACAATTGAATTGGTTCTCCAGAAATCAAGACAAGGAACGCCGTGTTGGATTCATTCCCCCTTCTCTCTCTTCCCGAGCTCCACTCTCTTCCATGGCGACAACCCACACTCTCAGTCCTCATCCCATAACCTTTCTTAAGCCCTTCCCAAAACCCACAGCTGGAGTCACTCTTCCGCAATCCCGAACTCTGCGTCCATGGCGGACCCGATCTAGGAAACTCCCCCTTCCTTCAGCTTCGGGCATCTGGGGTGCACTCGCCGGCGGCAACTCTTCCCGCGAGGCGGCCGCCGCCATTCTCCGCGGAATGCTTCTCTTCAGGCAGGTGAATTTGTTGGAAATCTCTTCTTTGATTATTCAGTTTGATTAATGATTAATGGTTAGGCAGATTGTTTATATGAGTAATTAGATCCCATTTTTTTGGATGAAGGGAGATGTGATGGGGTCTTTGGTGGAGTTTGACAAAGCTATCAAGCTCAATCCGCGCCATAGAGAATGTGAGATCATATATGCGTTTAATCATTTGTTCTTGAGATTATTGTGAACAATATTTTGGATGTTTTTTTTGCCTAGTTTGTTTAATAAGTAGAAGAGAGTGTATATATAGGAACCAACCCTAGTTCAATTAGGAGGTAAGAATGAACTATTACATAGAAACCCCAACAATATTCTTTATTACTCTCTTCGTCCCACAAAAAGGTATGCAATGGGATCACCATGATTAGTAAGAAAATTAAACTTGTGTGGGTTGAAAGTGGTACTGAGAAGAGAAATAATATGGGTAACTAGAAAATTTTTCATAAATGAAAAGTGGAACCTTTTTTGGACAAACAAAAAGGAAATATGGAATCCTTTTATGAGACGGAGATAATATATTACTCCCTTTATTTGGTCATATTTATGTGGTTCATGTTCATTTTCACTTTTTGGTCATATTTGTGTGGTGCATATTGATTTCCACTTTATGTTATTTTCTAACATCAGTATCAACCACACAATTTTGAATTTCGCCACTTTATCTATGTCCCAAAAATAGTGGGATGGAGGAAGTATCTTATATAAGTAAGGATATTGGTTCAGGATCATACTTTATATGTTTCATGTTGGTGTTTCATTACAGATTGGACTACCTTTTATCTACTGATAAGTCATGAATATTTACTACATTGATAGCATTTGTGAAGTGTCAACTGTTTCTTAAATCCTTACAATGTGTAAGTGTTGATATTGTGACTCCTCTCATTGACATTGCCACTCTATTTAGTTTAGGTGTACTATACTAAAAGCTTGCAGAGTTGAGTGGCGATATCAATGGGAGGAGTGACATTATTGCTTCCCTTGAATGAATCTCATATTGTAAAATGTATGTATGTATCGTAAGCACTTGTGTTAAGTTTTCTATCTCAGTGTTGTTTGGATGTGATTTTGGAAAGGCTAAAAAGTTCTTTCGCACCTTAGAGTGGGAGTGGGATAGGTGCTGGTTTGGTGGCACGAATGCACGATAGAATGCGGGCTCATTAGCATGATCTCTAGTTAATCAAGATCATTGCATTTCCTTATGTAATCTCATTCTACAATTTAAATGGCTGCTAACCATATAACCATGTGAGGCTTCCTTATTTGTATTGTGCTGGTTAGATTTAGCATACAAATCATCTTATTAGCATGCTAATACATGTTATTAGGGACCTGCTCTTAACTCAAAATAATTTCAATATATTGTTGGGAAAATCGGGTAATTTTCCCACTAAGTCAATACAAATAGTGAACCAGTTCCGAACAAATTAACTGGAGAGAACACTAACAGAAATACCCGATAAATAATATTGAATACTATACTACAACAGAAAAGAAAACAGCATAACAATAATAAATAAAGCGGAATAATAAAAGAGATAAAGAGAGCACACCCGAAAATTTGTTAACGGAGTTCGGCCAATTTAGCCTAATCTCCGAGCATTGCTTTTATTGATATGTGAGAAAAGAGATTACAAATTGGGATGGAAAACATAAGGGGGGAGGAGTTATTATATAGGAAGCAAAACTCCCTCCCTAAACAAAAAGCTACGGTGTAAGATGGCCAAACAATAAACCCACTAATATAGGTTACAACTTTTGCCCAAAACAAACAAACCAACCGATGTGGGATAGGAAATTAAGCCAAAAGTCAACAAATCTCCACCTTGGCTTAAATTTTAAGTCCCACCAAAATACAAATCTTCTCATAACAATATCAATCTTCGCGGTGCTAAACTTCACATGTACAAAACATTAACCAATTCCAAACAGTGTTCGAACTTGGCCCTCGTAACCACCTTGGTCAGCATATGTGCAGAATCTTCTGGAGAAGTATCTCCTCTTCTTCAAGAATTTCCCGCACAAAGTGATAGCGAACGTCAATGTGCTTCGTCCTTGCATGAAAAACTTGATTCTTTGCTAAATGAATAGCACTCGGACGGTTAGAATAAACTTCAAGTTGTTTTTGACCAACTCCCAAGTCTTTAAGCAACCCATAAAGCCAAATTGCTTCCTTAACACCCCCTGTAATTGCCATATACTGTGCCTCTGTTGTAGACAAAGCCACCGTTGACTGCAAAGTAGATTTCCAACTAACTGGCGCTTTTGCTAAGGTGAACAAATAGCCAGTTGTAGAACGCCGCTTATCCAAATCACTTGCATAATCAGAATCACAATATCCAACTATGCATTGACCAAATGATTCATCTCGCTCGAACGCCAAACCAACATATACGGTATTTTGGAGGTACCGTAGAATCCATTTCACAGCTTGCCAATGACCCTTGCCTGGATCATGCATGTACCTACTAACAACACTAACGGCCTGTGAAATATCGGGTGTCGTACACACCATTGTATATATCAAGCTTCCAATTGCATTTGCATACGGGACTTTCGCCATGTATTCTCGCTCTTCATCAGTCGTTGGAGATAAATGGCTACTCAGTTTCAAATGAGGAGCAAGTGAGGTACTCACAGGTTTTGTATCATCATGCATACCAAAACGTTGTAGTACCTTTTGCAAATACTGCTTTTGTGATAGCCAAAGTTTACCCCTCTCTCTGTCCCTGCTTATCTCCATGCCGAGAATCTTCTTGGCTTCCCCCAATCTGTCAATATCAACTTGGCTCTTTGCTGCAATTAGCATATCATCAACATATAAGAGTAAGTAGATGTAAGAACCATCTTGAAGTCTGCGCAAATACACACAATGATCGTATTTGCTTCTCTTGTACTTCTGACCCTTCATGAACTTATCAAACCATTTATACCACTGTCTTGGAGATTGTTTCAGTTCGTACAACGATTTGGTAAGTTTACAAACCCAATCTTCTTTACGAGCAACCTTGTGTCCTTCTGGCTGAGTCATATAGATTTCCTCCTTCAAATCACCGTGTAGAAACGCGGTCTTCACATCAAGTTGAGCTAGCTCGAAGTTCAACTGTGTTACCAAGGCCAACAAAATTCTAATGGAAGAATGCTTAACAACTAGAGAAAATACCTCATTATAATCAATTCCCTCCCTCTGAGCAAAGCCTTTTGCAACCAACCTTGCCTTGTAGCGAACATCTTCTTTATTAGGAAATCCTTCTTTCTTTGTGAATACCCGATTGCTTCCAATTGCCTTCTTACCTTTTGGTAATTGTGCTAGCTTCCATGTCTTATTCTTCTTCAAAGACTACATCTCCTCTTCCATTGCACCTTCCCAATCACCACTCTCTGAACTTAGAATGACTTCTGAGTAAGTGGATGGAATGTTATCAACAACTGGAAGTGCATAGGCAACCATATCCATGAAACGAGCAGGCTTCTGAATATCTCGTCTCTGTCTTCTAATTGCAATTGGTGCCGATTGCTTTGAGGTTCTGGGATAGGAACCTCATCCTCATCTGACTCTTCTTCTGCCGTAGGAGAGTCACTAGTGGTGCTTCGTGCTGGGATCACCACCGTCTGCTCAAACTCCACTTGCTTTGGAGTACACTCCACCTGCTGCGAAGTACTATCAGCTTCTTTTGGATTTACCTTCTTCAATATGGCAGATTCATCAAATGTAACATCCCTACTGATAATCGTCTTCTTTGCCTCTAGACACCATAAGCGGTAGACCTGACAAAACTAACCCGGACTCGATAACCTGAACCGAATAACCCGGAACCGAACCCGATTTGACCCGAAAACTGAAGAACCGAAATAGAACCGAACACCCGAAATGATCCGAACCGAACCGAACCCGAACCGAATGTATTCAGACCCGATTCAGACCCGAATCCGATTAAACCCGAACCGATTAAACCCGAACTCGGTTAAACTCGAACCCGATTAAACCCGAACCCGGTTAAACCCGGAACCGATTAGACCCGAAACTGATTAGACCCGAAATTGATCAAATTCATTAATATTTCATTTATCAAATGAATTTGGAAAAAAAGAATTACCTATATATTTTTACTTATGTTGATATGTTTCTAAAAAAATATATTTAAATTATGAGTGCAAACCATGTAACTACTTTCATGTACAAATCTTTTATTTTGTACTCCGTATTTTATAACCTAAGTTAAAATATATTTGTATTTTTATAGAAAGTATATAAAAATTATAGTTACATTGTAATACATATTTTATGTAAAGAATTATGTTACCAAAGTTTATTTTCTTTTTTTTAATATGCCAATTAACACACTATAAAAAATACTTGAGCATAAAAATGAAGAAAGGTGTCACAATCATGTGGTAAAAACTTATGATTATGTAAATGAAT